ATAGAACTCAATAAATACCTTAATAACTAGACATAGATTTACCAGTTACCTAACTAGACCACAGGAGACAGAGCCACAAGAAAGGGAATTAGTTGACCCCTTGACCTCTGACCTTGCCTTGCCCTTAGATTATAAGTAGAGAGACTTTTAATGATACTTTGGTCATATTATTTCAGGTGACATTGTATTGATTATGGAGTCGTTAACCATTAAATGTTGATCACGCAAATGTGGTTAATCACAGAACATTGACATTGGTCACGGAGATGAAATTAATCACAGGAAATTATTAATATCCCACTAAGATATGGGGTAATTAATGAATAAACAAATATGTATATAAATGTGTATCCATTCGCCTGATTTTTTAAAAATCCTCTTTCAAGCCATTCTTATTTTCTACCTGCTTTTTTCTCATGTCATTCCTATATATTTTTTTTCACCTGGCCTTTTCTCTCTCTCTCTCAAGCCATTCCTTTGTTTTCCTCTGCCCTTTTCTCTCTCTCAAGCCATTCCTATGTTTTTGCCTGCCTTCTTCTCTCTTTCTCTCGAGCCATTCCCATGTTTTTACCTGCCTTCTCTCTTTCTCTCAAGTCATTCTTATTTTTCTTCTCTGTCCCTTTCTCCCTCTCTCTCGCCCTTCCCTTCAGATCTGGAAGATGTTCCCCGTCTCGACGTGGTTGTGCGGCGGCGCGTGCGGCTCCTCGCCCCCCGTGGCCTCCAGGATCTCGTCCCTGGCCATCTTGTAGAGCGGCAGGAGGGCGCCGAAGATGCTGAGGCCACAGTAGAACACCAGCATGCTCAGGTATGCCCAGGAATGCCCGGCGACCGAGGAGGACACGTTGCTGTTACCGTTGAAGAAGAATTTCGCCAGGCTGCTGTTGGTGGAGGTTCCCTCGGTTGCTTCTCGCGTCTCCGGATTCGAACGTTGTCGTCGGGAGCGGGCGTGGGCGTCGGAGGCCTCGGGATGGGGGTTCCTCTTCCTCCTCTTGCTCCTCTGGCTCCCCCCCTCGCCTCCCATCAGGCCGGGGTGCTCCAGGAGGAACCCCAGGAAGGAAGCCAAGCCCCCCGCGTCGCCGCCCGCCTCCCTCCGCGCCCGTGGCAGCTACGGAAAGTCCCGGGAGAAAGTTGTGGACAGCCGACGGTGAGAAAGCGAGCGGTTAAGTGTCTGGCTGCTTGTGATTCGATGGAGAACGTGAGGCTTTCCGGTGATGATGTAAATAGATGAGATATGTGCATAGCATTAACAAATAAATAGGTAATAACAGGAACAAATAATTATCTCATCATAATCGTAACAACGCTTAAAAAAATAACAAAATCTAACAGTAACAAGAATAACAGAGATCCGCCAGACAATCAGAAGCCAAGACTATCTATGTACACAGAGATCAGAGGCAGGCGAGGAGGCAGAGAGGTCTTTAGGTTAGAGCAGAAGGCACATGGGCTGCCGTGAGCGAGAACTCAACCCTTGTCTAAAAAAGAGAGAGAGACGAAAGACCAGGTTGTGCAAAGGTAGGCTTACGTCTTCGTGTTGTGTGTATGCATTGGTGAAAAAAAAACGGGGAGGGACAATGTATGTATAACAACGTTCATTTGTTTCTTTTCTTTTCTTTTGCACTTGATGTGTTGTATGGGTCTTTTGCTGGCGATTGTAAACGTGAATGCTTGTCGAGGGGTCGTGCGTGGTCAGGTTGTGCGTGGAGAATGACCTGTGTGATTCTCTTACACAGAGTCCATCCTATAGCAGGTCGTGCTGACAGATTCACAACGAGAATCACTTCGACTGACAAAAAAAATATGGATGGAGATTCGTGACCGGTCTTCCAGGGTAGGCAGCAGGTTGTGGTCGTTAAGCTGACGGGTCGTTTAAGAGAGAGTGGTGGTCGTCAGTGGCTCGTGAACTGCGGCCAGGGTAATGCTGGCTTCAGGTGTCCCCGCATTAGGCCATGGCCGAATGCATGTAGTGTACAGCTCGAACAAGGAGGTTTCGGACGACCATGGAAGCTCTGTCTTGCGCCTAAGGGGGGGGAGGGCAGGGGAACACATGTTAACGAGGCTTGTGCAAACTCTCTGGGATTCCGACAGTCAGGAGGGAATTCCACGTCAGAGGCTTTTTTTGTGTGGCTTCGGGAGAACTCCACGGTGAAAAAAAGCTTCTTTGTGAATTCGACAAAATGGAAAAATGGAAAAAAAAATATGAGACAAAAATTCCCTTTCAACACTAGTTGAAATTTTTGAACAATCTCTAAATCGATTTTACTTTGGGGGAAATAATAATGCCGACATCGTTTTAAGAAAAAAATAAATAAAAAGCTGAAATATAATGAATAATGAAAAAATACACTTTTACACAGCAAGTTCTTAACAATGAATATTAAAACCAATGCAGTTTCAAAATGTGTGTTTCATGGGGATTTTAAAGATTTTCGTAAATATAGAGCTGTTTTGAAATTAATGTTCGATTAAAATTCCAGTGAATCACAGTTTTTGGTGACGG